AACATTTAATATGAAATATTTTTAACCCAGGATTTTTTTTATTATAGGTCACTTACAAACATGGGTAATATTTATATGCAAGAGCCAACCGCTAAGGGTAAAGTAATAAGTATCGTTTAATAATACTTCCATGGATTGTATAACTGTTTTTAAAAATTTAACAGATATACCATATTTACTTTCTCAATTTCTATATTAATTTATTCAATAATTTCTAATTTCAATTACAATAACAAATAATAAATTTTTATAAATTTCATTTTAAAAGTATTTTAAATTAATCCATCTAATATATTTCTTATAATTAGGTTCGAATGAAAACGACTGTTGGTGACGTTGAGTTAGAATTATATGCGAAAGAAACTCCAAAGGCATGTAGAAATTTCATACCATTATGTATGGAAGGTTATTAGGGTGACGCTATCTCTCATAAAATTATCAAAGGATTCATAACGCAAGGTGACGATTGAACAGATACAGGAGAAGGTGGTAAAATATATGGAGAACCGTTTAAAGTCAGACTATATTTAAAAATGAAATGAATTCTTTTTTTATTAAAAAAAAATTAGGAATTTCGTACGAGATTGAGAAGGTGGTAAAATATATGGAGAACCGTTTAAAGTCAGACTATATTTAAAAATGAAATGAATTCTTTTTTTATTAAAAAAAAATTAGGAATTTCATACGAGATTACGTTTTTGTCGACGAGATTTAATTGGTATGGCTAATTCTGGAAAAGATGACAATGGTTTCCAATTCTTACTTTACTCTTAGGTCTACACCAGATGTGCAGAATAAACATACAATCTTTGGTAAAGTTACTGGAAAAACTATATATAACATACTTAAACTTGAAGAAGCACTTGTTGATGAGGTGAATTTAATGTTTAAAGAAAATATATCAAGAATTGATATAAATATAATATTTCCACTTTTTTGTAGAATGATAGACCACTTTATCCTCCAAGATTGATAAAAACTATAATATTGAACAATCCATTTCCTGATATTATACCAAGAATAATAGTACAGGAAAGTGAAGAAGTAAAGGACAATTCAGAAACTAAGACAGCAGCAGTAAAGTAAAAATCATATATGTTTGCAGAATTTAGCCCTGATAGTATTATTCTTTACAATGAAAAATTTTGTTACAGAGATTTTTCAATCTTTTATCGTTTGGTAAAAAAGCAAAGGAAGATGATGAAGAATGTGTGATATTAAATAAAAAGTTTAATGGTAAGGGCAAATCAGCTCATGATCATTTAACTGATCCAAAATTAAGCTCGCAACCAGCTGTTGAACCATTTGGACTTGCAAATAAAAAAAGGACGAAAGACCGTAGTAGCGATTGGGAAAGCGACGGCGAAGTAAAAGCTCAAGAAGAATTACAAGTTATAAAGAAAGAGAAAGAGTTAGTTTATTGTTTACATTATGACTATTTTCTAGAAAGTAGTAATTTTTATCGACTGTCTTATATTTATAGATACCTCTTTTAGTTATATGCTCCTAATATATCTTAATAAATCAATTCGGCAACAGAAAATTAATAAATTTCCAAATTTCTGTAATTAATTCATCAACATTTATAGCTGCACAGCAAAGTTGGAATTATAGCAACATTTTTATACAATGTTTAATTTAATAATTAATACTTACATGAGCGATAGGTTTTTATTTCCTGTATCTAATGATAATTTATATTTTCATTTTCTTTCTGTAGTAAATAAGATTGCTACAGAAAAGTGTTTTTCTTGCATAATATTCTTATTATTTTGTAATAAATATATACTAACATAAGAAAGCGTAAAATATAAATTTTTTTTATTAAAAAATTTTATTTACAATGTTTCCATAGGCGAAAAATGAATGCAAAATAAAAAATAAAAATGAGAAAAACTACCAACTCTATGGAACAGGAATCGAACGCCGAACCTCAAGCATAGAAATTTTCGAATGTCGCCGTAAAGCCACAAGCCCATTTGAAAATCGTAAGAAATAAATCTGTAGTTGCAAATGTAGTAAAACTTTAATCATAAATATCTCAAAAACTATTGAGTAGTTGCAACTATAATGATATATACTCTTGAACTGCATGACGAAATCTACAAACCTGCAAACTTTCAACTCGGTGACTTGAAGGACTTGCACTCTCCTTGTAAGAGACTTTCTTATATAAATATATATATGAAAACGTAATGATGATTTTACTATATGACCCTGTTCGTTATTTTGTTTGGATTATAATAATTAAGGGTTAGGTTCGTATTTATATGTTTATGTATAATAAATATATATATGTATACATACAGTTAGAAAATTTTATACATGAGCATTGTAAACTCCTTTGTTGTACGTTCTTTTAAGAAATTATATGAATGCATTATTGTAAACGTACGAAAGTATTAGATTTTAAATTAACTTTTCAGCAATATTCTTTGTTTGTCTAGTTCCTATTCTCTGTTATATATCACAAAATGTTCTTTCCATTTAAACAAAGAAATTGTTATATTACATTAATATTTTGGAATTAAATGAAAACATGATATATATTTGTAGCAGTTGCTTTCTTGATTTTGTTTTAGTTTGCTTACCACGCCTAATGTTATTAAACATATACCTATGTCACCGATGAATTTTTCATTTTAATTACTCATATTACATTGCTGTCACTATCTGTAAATGAATATATTTCTTAGAATTTTCATTCCATTTATTTTCTTCTTTTGGTCTGAACAATTTTACTTTAATCATTACTTTAATGGGAAAAAAGGCTATGTTAAGATTTCTCAAATGACAGAAAGTTTCGATAATTCACAAGTCCATCTTTATCTAATTTCGTCTTATTATAATAATTAAAGCAATGACTACATAAAATCCTCACAGGCTAGTGAATTGAAAAACTTGATACGATAGAGGCGCTCGTTGTTCGACGTATGTTCACATACATTTACACGTTCATGATAAGAAGATACGTATTGTGCGTGTCCTAACGCGAAAAATAATCAAAATGGTTAGTATTTTTACATTGTGTAGTACTTCTTTCCTTTTGTTTTGTATTAATTTCTTACTAAAAATATATTTAAATAGATGGAATGGTTTTATATATTTTTACGACTTTTATATATATTTTTAGGCATCTTACTCAGAGGATCAGTTAGCAGGTATGTAAATGCGAATGAAATCTTTAACACCAATCAGAATAAAATTAAAGAGAAGCAAATGGTTTGTTCTCGATATTCAATTTAGGTCAAGAATATCGTTTACCTTATTAGACCCACCCTGGTGACATCGAATTACGTGTCGCTGATTTCCTTTTATGGTTAGGCACCTGAAAGCAATAACAGCAGAAAAGAAGAAACGAAGACAGATTCACGAATAGCACTGAATCGTAACGACTGTACAACCTTTATATTCAGTTTTAAATCGTTTCTGAATGTAGTTTTATTGGTATATCTTTGTTGTAAAGAACATATAATTGCGGTACAAACTTTAAGATTTCTTAATTTTCTATATTGTTACTTTCGTTTAAAAAGTGCTACGTAATATTTCTCACATATTCTCTTCACTTTTACGCGTATTTGTTGCAATTCTCATTACCCTTTTTTTTCACTGCTTAAAAGGTGGAATTTTAATATTTGATATAATTGCTATACATATACGCACACGTGTGTACATACTCACGCGTGCGCACACACACACACACACACACATACACACACTCAAGTGTATATATACAATACAAAATGTATGAATATAGTTATCAAGAATTAACTAACAGAATGATGTCATCAATTGAGGGTAAATAAATTTATTACTCATGTAACATATCAGCTTTTAGACGAAAATAAATACTCACTGTTTAACTTAAGATGTTTATATAAAAAATAATTTAATGATAATTATTTATAATTATATTCTTCTTTTATTATAACAGAATTTCAAGAGGCATTTCAACTGTTTGACAGTCGAGGAGACGGAAAGATTCATGTAGCTCAAATTGGTGATGCATTGCGTGCTTTAGGGCAAAATCCAACTGAATCAGATGTCAAGAAATTTACCCATCAACATAAACCTGATGAGCGTATTAGTTTTGAAGTGTTTTTACCAATTTACCAAGCTATAAGTAAATCCCGCACATCTGATACTGCTGATGATTTTATAGAAGGATTACGTCATTTTGACAAAGATGGGAATGGTTTTATCTCTTCTGCTGAATTAAGACATCTTTTGACCACACTAGGTGTGTAAAAATACTGTTACTTTTCATAATTATATAATATATGATTTAGTTTATAATTTGCAAATTACAGAATGACTCTTATTTTTTGATAGGTGAGAAACTTAGCGACGAAGAAGTAGAAACCTTATTGGCTGGTCATGAAGATTCACAGGGTAACATTAATTATGAAGATTTTGTTCGTCAAGTGATGTGTGGTTAAATTTTTATTTCATTAGATACAAGTAAATATTGATCATAAAAATTTGTATCCATCATAAAATTTTTTGTAAGCATTTAATTTTTCTGATTTACTTGTACTGCATTTTCTTTTTACATGATATTACATAAGATTATATATACTACCATCCTGATGATACTTTGTTAAAATGATAGAATATAAATTTCCTTCCGTTGTACATGTAATATAATGAGTATATTGTGCCTTGATGTGAAAAGGTCGTGAAAATAAGAAACATTCAAAATCAAAACTAAAATGAAATTTGAAAAATGAATGTTTTAAATTATTCCATAAACCTTTTAGTATGTCTGTTATTAAATCTAGGAAAATATTTTTAATATCGTTTGTAATTAATTGACTTTTTAGATAATAGTACATGTTTAGAACTTTAGAAATCTAAAATACAAGATTTTTCTTGCTATTTTTAAAAGTATTAGTTACAAACATAAAAAGTGTGTATCAGTGGTAATAAAAGTGGTGTAAAATGAAATTTAAAGTAGCATTTAATTATCTGAAACAAAATAAGAATTAATGGCATGTATTAGTCGTAGTAATTAGGGAACTAAACTTTTGGAAATATATTACTTAAATTGTAAAAAACATTAAACAATGGTAATTTTATAATTGCTTTTTGATTTTCCAAATATAAGTCAAACGGCATGAAACCTCGTATGACATAAAAATAATAATAATCTTATAAATGGTCATTAAAATCCATTACCGTTAAGAAAAAATGTTGTAAATAAAAAATATAATCGATTTGAATTGAATCGATATATATCGAATCGAAGCGGATCGAGTCGAGTTTGACATTTAAGAAGGAGCGCTTCAGTATCGTTTCATTCGCTTGAGTAGTACGGTTACCTTGTGTGTTAGTGATTCTACGATAATTCTTATCGGACAGTAATCGCTGGTCTAGCGAATATTTCATTGTGAGAAAGTAAAATTACAGCCGTCAAAATTTTACGAAGAAAGAAGTATGAGTATTAATTCCAGTCTACCATTAAGTAATTGCGGAAGTACTAAAAAAGGCATAATAATGCCAAGTTTAATATCCAGCAATTGGTAAGTACCGTGCGACTACTGCACCATTTCTGCCTTTAGTTCGTCACCGCCATCTTATATTCTATCTATTGGTATTTGTGTTTTCTTTACTGCTTTTGTTGTATGAATGCTTTTTGTAAAATTATATTTACTAATAGTATATTTCAAAAATAATTGTTTTCCTCCCTAATTGAAAATTTTATTACAAGTGTTTAGAAAATATACAAACGGGTCAATGATTCGCCTAATATTAATTTTTAAATTTATCATTCACTTTGATAATCGTAAAAATCTTCGATAGATATATAATCCGACTTTTTTGTGATTAATATTATATTTTTTTCAATATTAAAAATACTTTTGAACCACGTACGTTAAGTAGAAATAATATTTTAGAACAAACTTACGCGACAAAAGAAAGTAAACGAAAAGTATTTAAAAAGAAGGATATAAAGTATAAAAATAAGAAAACGTAATGACAAAATTTCAATATATTCGATGATTTTTGGAAAGTATTGTTTCCATTATACGTATAGTGCCACGTGAAACGTGAACATCCATCGCATGACGTAGAACCAGCGCATATGCGTCGATACATTTTACGCGTCAGCTGTTTCCTCATACGTATAATGCACAAAAATGTGATGGATGAAAAAGTTTTGTTATCATTTTACATTGCCTTGTAATACAAAACGAAAAAGATATTTATGAGAATAAAAAAATACATGGATATTGAAGTATTTTTTAATAATTAGTGATATTGTAAACACTTGATATAAATTGTTATATTGAAGCAGAAATAATTGTACATTGGATGTATATAAAGGAATCATAGAGATTTCTTATATAATTCTAATTGTAGTCACATAGCAAGTTAGTACATGTAAAATAAACTCACAATATAATCTTTCTTTCAATATGAAATCGTTGATAGGAAGTAAATTGTTATTAATAGAGTGACACTTTATTTTAATAACATAAATGATATATATGATGGTTAATTATTTGTCTCAAACATGAAAAGATCATTAACCATGTAAAATCAAGGCTTTTCAGCAATAACTGTATTATTCTCACATTGGGTATAAAAGATAATCAACCATATAACACTGAATAACGGAATATGTTATCTCAACTAGTTTCTATGAAAATGTATGTACAATCTTTATATAATTACTATTACAAATGAATATATACCTGGTACAATTCTATATCTTTCTATATCTTTCTTTTTCTTGCTATTTCTCTTTCAAAACAATATAAGAATAAATTTCTTCGTGTTGATTAATGTTTATAAATAATAAACCTCTAATGAGCAATAGCACATATAATTATAATTCTGTTTTAAGATCATCTAAGTTTCTGCAATGTTATGTGTGTTTAAAAGTATTCTACGTTATTGTTAACATAAATAAAAATTAACGACTAATAATTAACCTCTTGTCAATCATTTTATTTAATATACTTAATTTCAAAATTTTATAGCCGTCTATCATCCATGATTACCATAAGTCTACATATGCATGTACGCATATTTATGGTACTACGCGGTTCTGGAAGATGAATGGGATTTTTATGTTCCAAAACGTGTGAAACAAAAGAAAGAAAAAATGGAAAAAAAAAAAGAGAAAGAAACAGAGAGGATATTCAATTATTCAGAAATTATTGTAGTAAAATTATAGTATAGACAAGTCATAATTAATAGTGCAACGGATAAAACTTAATTTAATATTTAGTAAATCATATTTTAATTAATATAAAATATTAATCATTCAAAATACATGAAATTGCAGTGACATGTCAAGCAAATGTATGGATGAAAGTTTAGAAGAAGGATCTAGACTTCAACAACATTATTGTATAACGTTGGGTGTGGGGCCTCTGTGGTGGTCCTGATGTGCCCCATGCCGCATTGTCTGTATCTACAGTCAACACAGAGAGCCACGGCGTGGGGATCAAGCAGAGTCAGCTCTCTGTGAGCTCCCATATTGTACAAGTAAGAATTTGTAATTATTATATTTGAGAAATATTTTTCATCGTTTTATAACATCGAAATAAACATGCCAAACACTTTAGGATACAAATTATTTTCTTATGATATTAATACTTGTTAATTATAATTTAATTAATGGTAAACTTTGCTTATACAGTTTATATGATTACAAATGTATTTTTAGGAGGATGAATTATTGAAAGCTGTGCGAAATAGCGAATCATTACGCTTAACTTTTACCCTACATTTGACGGAAAGCACATCCGTCGAATGGGAAACAGTAGTATGGCGACGTTGTCTTTACATTCGTGTGCCAAGCTGTCTTTTACCCGAAGGTTCGAAAGAAGGCTTCGTTTCTCTCCTAGAATATGCCGAAGAAACACTACGATGTACAAATATCATTGTTTGCCTGCGTAAAGACAAAGCAGACCGAGGTACTTGTTGTCAACCGTTTTTTGACTCCAACGAGAATGATTACGAAGAAAAAATATCTCGTCTAAAACGATTTGTTGTTATGGTTTAGCAATGCTGGTTCGTACCTTCATGTTTTTGGGCTTCAGTGTTCTACCGCCGACTCACTCCTTGGTTCCACCAGGCAGTGATGCTGGCAATCTTTAATAGTGCAACGGATAAAACTTAATTTAATATTTAGTAAATCATATTTTAATTAATATAAAATATTAATCATTCAAAATACATGAAATTGCAGTGACATGTCAAGCAAATGTATGGATGAAAGTTTAGAAGAAGGATCTAGACTTCAACAACATTATTGTATAACGTTGGGTGTGGGGCCTCTGTGGTGGTCCTGATGTGCCCCATGCCGCATTGTCTGTATCTACAGTCAACACAGAGAGCCACGGCGTGGGGATCAAGCAGAGTCAGCTCTCTGTGAGCTCCCATATTGTACAAGTAAGAATTTGTAATTATTATATTTGAGAAATATTTTTCATCGTTTTATAACATCGAAATAAACATGCCAAACACTTTAGGATACAAATTATTTTCTTATGATATTAATACTTGTTAATTATAATTTAATTAATGGTAAACTTTGCTTATACAGTTTATATGATTACAAATGTATTTTTAGGAGGATGAATTATTGAAAGCTGTGCGAAATAGCGAATCATTACGCTTAACTTTTACCCTACATTTGACGGAAAGCACATCCGTCGAATGGGAAACAGTAGTATGGCGACGTTGTCTTTACATTCGTGTGCCAAGCTGTCTTTTACCCGAAGGTTCGAAAGAAGGCTTCGTTTCTCTCCTAGAATATGCCGAAGAAACACTACGATGTACAAATATCATTGTTTGCCTGCGTAAAGACAAAGCAGACCGAGGTACTTGTTGTCAACCGTTTTTTGACTCCAACGAGAATGATTACGAAGAAAAAATATCTCGTCTAAAACGATTTGTTGTTATGGTTTAGCAATGCTGGTTCGTACCTTCATGTTTTTGGGCTTCAGTGTTCTACCGCCGACTCACTCCTTGGTTCCACCAGGCAGTGATGCTGGCAATCTCTACATGCTCTATGTCATCGAGTAATCAACCAGAAGCTCGACTTCTCTTTCAAATTTAACGCACAGGTATATATAAAAAAAAGATATATATATATATATATATATACACTTATATGCATATATTTTTTTCTTTTCATAAACAAATTATCATTTTTTGTTGATTACTCTTTATTTATATTTTTCGTAATTTTTCTAAGCTTTATTATTTCTAAATAATTTACCGCTTTTTTTGGCTTTTTTTCTTAATTACAGGAGCGAACATTGAATGAAAAAAACGTATATATACAACAACCATCAGCGTGAAAGAGAAATCACAATCTATAAACCCTAAATTGTAAATGAAATAGTTCTTTTCTTTTGATTCCTTTATTAGTTTTTATTGTGTTTATTACTAAGATATCATAAGTTTATAGGAGTTGCATAAAAGAATATATAGAAATTACATCTTTTGATTTCATTACTTACTACAATTATAAACCAAATTATTGCATTAAAAATTAACAATATCGAAACATGTGAAGTATGTAAATTATATCAAAGATAACGTTTTCAGCACTATTATACACCTTGGCGTTAAATTTAAGAGGAATATGTTCATATGTAGACGTACATATATGTATATATATGTGCGTGCGTGCGTGTAGAGAGAGTGAGAGTGAGTGTTGGGGGGGGGGGGGGGGGGGTGAAAGATATGTACGGAGCGATACGGAGAAGCCAAGAACAAAGCGAAACTGATAGTCGGGTATATGTAGATCATCAACATAACAGGCTGTGGGCAGAAATGTCGATTCATTCTCTTGAATACAATGTTAAGAGCATTAAACAGCTGACGAAGCTTCCCACGTAAAAAAAATTTGACGTTCTTTAAGGTTTAAAATATATAAACCTATAAGACGTCAAATTGTGTAAAAGGTTTATTACTAATAAATCACAATGTTAATTGTATCAAAAAGGGTTTTACCGCGTTTTATTCTGTATTATTATTATGTACGTTTTTTTAATCGTTTATAAGTATTATTATTATATACACATACATATATATATTATATACATATAACGATGCGCAACCAGTGTTCGGTTGTTCTAAATAATTTTTGTTTAACTTGTATTTCTTACGTAATGTATACAAATCTACTCAAATAAAACACTAACTTATGAAATGATGTGTAAAACTTCGATATGGTCATGTTTTTAATGAAATTTACGAACACGAATAGTATCGAATATTTTATAATTAAAATATTATATTTAAAATGCTTAAAATATTTTGTTATAGTATTTATGTATACATTTAAGCAATAAATTATACACTGGCAGCGATCGTTGTAATCATAACCGGGTCAATTCTTCTTTATATTTAAACACAAATAATTGTTGTACTGATAATGGTGTTAATAATAATAATAATGATTGTAATTATAATGATAATCTTTGGTAATCCCGATCAATTAACATTGTAAAGTTCGTTCTAATAAATGCGTTCTTTAGTGTTGACTTAATGATGGATGACATTAAATGACTGTAAGGTCATAAATAAATAAATTAAAAAAAAGAGAAAAAAAGGAAAAAAAAGAAGAAAGAAAAGAAAAGAAAAAAAAGTAAAATATTACGAGAAAAGTGTTAATAGCTTACTAGGAATATAGATAAGTACAGGATAATGAATTATTATACATTAACGCAAATAGTTTCCAATTTGCCTCAATTTTTTTCAATTGAAAATAAAACTCTTTGCGTTCTATTGACTATTGTGTACTGTATTCGTACAGTTGATCGCGTGAAGATACATGTATGCTACATTTATTATTGGAACTAAAAGAATCATACTTGCTAAATAAAACTTTAGAAAATAAATGAATTTTGTACTTTGTTTTATATCAGAAGAATTAAAGAAAGGATAAATCTTTATATGTATATCATTGCATGCAAACACATGACGCATACGTAATTGTTTAGATACATTTTTTTAAACTAGAAGTATGTTTTCATGCAATAACGATTTATTATTATTTCATATAAAGGTACAACTCAGCAATATAAACGTATTAATGACATCGTTAAAATATAATCGAATAAAAACGTATACGGTTACTACGATAATAGTTTTAAACGATAGACTGCTTAATGTGTTATAAAATATTGGTGATTGAACTATTTATTAATTTTATTCGTGAAAAATTTGTTACTGAAGATGCTTCATCGGTGCCATAGGGAATAAAAATTGTTCACGTTTGTTGGAGTTTCTCTAATCGTAGTAACAGAATATGTGCTTCGGCAATCAAAAATGGTAAAGAATATATTCGGCGCATGATACATATGATCAATTTATTTTGTGAAATTTATCTTCATCGTATTATGTTTTATAAGAGATTCCGGTCCAAGTGAATTATCCCATTATAATTACACACATATAACTTACTTTCTCTTCCAATATTTTAAGCCATTCTAATTCTCTGAACATTTAATTTATCATTCACAATATCTAACGTATTTAAAAACTTGTACTTCACTTCATTGTACTTTAATGTAAATTAGTCCTTTTAATATCGGTATCTATCTCATCTGAGTTATTTTTTGGGACTAGACCCAAGCTGTTCAACATTCCGGACGGTGCTGTGTCTTCTACTAGACAGGCAGATACTTTCTTACATTTAATTAAATGTGTAGCTAACTGATTTCCGTCGGTCGTCGCATAACCACACGAGCATTGCATTTTTTTATCTAATGGAATATTAATGAGAGGAGAGGGAACTACCAAACTGGTCATAGGTCGTTCGTTATGAATTTGTTGTTGATGTTCTTTAAATGCACGCCAACAACAGGTTACATAGCGACACAGTTGACATCTTTGTTCACCTGGGTAATGATCTTGTTCATCTATATCTTCTTCACATTCTTGACAAGATAGGTGTTCCATTGGTGCATTTACTGTTACTGGACCAGTGATCCATTTTTTAACTCTTTCGTCGCATGGTAATTCCGTTGCCGGACTATCGATCTCAAATCGTCTATTTTGAAATCGCTGTTTAGATATCATTATTCCATTATTGCCACTTGAATATGGAATAACTTTTGTACCTGATACAGAGTCATGTAATTCCCTTTGATGAATTTTTAATGAACTTTTTTGATTAAACCAGAGACAACATCTAGAACATTTATTCCCGCGTCCTTGTTCTCTTCTGATAACATGCCTTTGCATATGTAACAAGAACGCATGAACGCTAGTAACATTGGGACTACCTTCTCTTACGAAATCTATTACCTTCAAGCAGTAAGGACATTGTAATCCTTCACCCTTCTCGTGAATACGATAAAAATGATCAATAGCATCTTTATGACTGGAAGTACGGTAACCACAACTTTCACACCGATACGGCATCTCTGATGGACAATGCACCGATGAAAAATGATTAATAAGAAGGCCACTGTTTCCGAATTTTTGTTCACAAATGGCGCAAACGACCATGTCACTGTCAGAGTGACCAAAATTGCTGTGTGCTTCTGTAACGTGTGTTATCATTTGATGCTGAGACGAAAATGCTGTGCAACAGTACCGACAGACGGGAGAATTTGATTGCCCGGGTACTTGTGGCGGTACATGACCAATAGTATGTTCCATTACATCTGTATTCGAACGCATCATTGTTGTACACAGAAAGCATTTGAAATATAAGGAATATTTATGCTCCTTTAAAAGGAGGGCCTTGTCACCTTCCATAGTAGCATAATAAAATTCTTGTAACTGTATCTGATCATTTGTACCTTCTTTATCTTTTTCTCTTATACCTTTCGACTCGAACATACCTTTTTTCAGATCTGGTTCTGGACTAATTGCTGTGGCAGGATTTCTCTTTCGTCCTCTTTTCGGGCCAGGTTTTGTTGTTTGAATGACAGGGAATGTCTCTTGTTGTTTGATATTGCTACTAGTCGGAATCAAAACCTCGCAACCCGAATGAATTTCTTCTTTGTTTATTGTCATAAGCGGCGTCAATGGTGGCGGATTCGTATTAGAATAAGACCAGTTATAAAAAGGATTGGCGGCTATCTTGGCCAAACGATCTAAGAGGCTTTCGTTTAAATCAATTCTAGTTTGTTCAGCTATATGTCCGATAATGTTATCAAATGCTCGAGCAGCAGTCGTACCGTGCATTTCCCTCCACACTAATTCGTCCAAAAATTGTTGTATCATTTGTCTACTAAGTAAACTAAGTGTGTTTTGAAACATTCTCGGGACAATTTTTCGCAAATACTCCATAATGTGATAATTGCTCATAAAATTTCGAGGACTTTGATCAGAAAATGCTGATTGGGTCACATGATTAAATCCCATTTCTTCAAGCGTGCTTTTATCAACGGTGAAGTCGGTCATAATTTTCGAATCCGTATGCACCCAATCCTTCAACGGATGTAAAATATTATTAAATCGTCGTTTATATGATCTATCACCATCTTGCACTGGATCACATGCTCTTAACCTTAAATCAAGAGTGGTATAATCCAATACACCAAGCACTTCGACTTTAACTTGCCGTAAGTTTCCGTCTTGCGATGTTGTACCTAAACTAATTACACCTACTTGTATCACGGAATTTTTACCTCCCATTTTACGAGTTTTATCCCAAATTGCAGCCGTACAAACACTACGTAAATAGGTATAAAAATTTTTTACGTATACATTCGATACTTTTACCCACGAAACAACATTTTGAACATTTGTTTGACATGCCCAATGATAAATTAATTTTAGGAGAACAGTAGGTGTATATGTAGCACCTTGAAATATCGACCCGGAGAAAACGGAAACAAAACGATCTGGACAACAACTCGAAATCCAAACATATCCACCGGAATATGGAAATGTACCTTGATCACTATACATTCCTAATTTCAATTTAGTCCTCTGATAGTTATTACTATGTTGTGTACAATATTGTTCGGACTTGACTAATCCTTGCTGTATCAACCATTCGGCAAACTTTGTAGCCGAGAACATGAGTACACTTTTGACTTTCATATCTGAAACATAAATTACTCGTTTATATAAGAAACTGATGACAAGAGGTAATCATATCAACGTTAGTAGGTACCTAACTCCGATCTTTCTTTTTGAGCAACTTGTGGCGCGATATCCTTCGTACGAAGATTCGGTCTAGCTACGACAACCAATGATGGAAACGTTCTACCTCCGTTTATTTTGTTAAAAGTCACTTCCCTTCCATCTGGGAGATTCTTCTTGGATTCATCAATTTGGTCACTAGCTAAATCGAAAGGTTATCGATATTAAAGACGAAAAATCCTATTTATTTACTATCTTAATTGCATCAAAATCATAGATCTACAAACGCCAAATATTAAACAACAGCTGGATAGATAGCTTTTAACGTTATTTTCTATAACGATTTTATAACGCGTTTAATGCCAGGTAAGTTGATTTTCTAACCTGCATTTTTATTTCCAACCGATATACCACCGATACTTGTATGTTCAGTTGGTTTTGTAATTGCCAGCCTTGTTGCTGTTGCTGTTACCGTTACCGTTGGCGTTGCCGTTCCCGTAGTTGTACTTATTGTTGCCGATGCTGACGATACCGTTGGCGTAATTTGTTGTTTACTCACGGTTTTTATTCTGAGATTAGTAACACCTTGCGGGCTGGTTGTAGCTAAAATATTAAATATAACTGCCATAGACACGTATGCTAGCTTATAAATTTTGTATATATATACCGAAATGAACATATATTTGAGAAAGATTGAAGAAAACTTACTTGGTGTAACAACATGCGTCGAGCATCCCAATTTTTGTCTTCCACGTGGAATTAACGCAGGCTATACGATTAAAATAAGATGGAATCAATGGAACAAAAAGTCAAAGAATTTTAAATGAAACAATATCTATGCATAACATACTTCCTCTATTACATCGGACTGTTGAACTTGAAGCACTTTCGTTCTGCGTCCAGATCGAGTATACTTGTACTGGAAGAAAAATAGTCTCTTAATATAGTAGTTAAAACTTTAATCCTTAGCTGAATAAAATACACAGTGGCAAAGTTTTGTACATTTTCCGTTTGCGAGTGTGCAACAGTAGATATAGCTGTCGCTGTAGATGTAGATGTAGATCCTGGTGTCAATGCTGAAGTTGATGTCAATGCTGAGCTTGACGAAACATTTGTTATAGCAGTTCCTGTGATACATTTTATTTATTATTACGAATTAAGTGCACATACCAAATAAATGACTAGTATAAACGATTTTTTACCTTGAGACTGAGCTACAGATCCAAGAATAACTCCCATTCGTGAATCCACAACCAGCTGTATATTGCCCTGAGATCCATTTGCATTATTTAATACATTCAACTTAATAGATTGACTCTTATTTTGATTCTGTAACCAATACCATTTTTAAACAAGTAAGAATAATTTGATTACATAGAAAAGTATATTGGTCCAGCAGCATCCATAACACTTACTACATTCACAATGGGTTGAGAATTATTTTTAACCGCTGCTTGTGTAGGATTTGAAGGCCTGGTATACGAGAAGATACAAACACTGAGTTTGCTAAAAGAGCAGCAATTGCAAAAAGATAACATCTATGTAGAAAATGATACCTACAATGTATATTGATAACCGTTGACATTGCCTGCTTGACATACCAATTTACCTCCATGATCTTTAACCAATTCCTCTAAGGTAGCAGCAACCTAAAAATGTATAAGTAAATGCAATGTCATGGGTCAATGAAATCTTTAATTTACAATGTAAAATTACATTAAGAAAAGGGTATAGTAAAGTAAAGGAAAGTAAAGTAAACATACTCTATCATAATTTTCTTTAAGTTCCAATTTTAACATTAGCTGAGCTTCGCTGAGAGGCTCTTCTGCACATTCCAAATTTAAAGTCATATGAGGTGGTCGACTGTTGGTTACTGAACGCGTAACTAGTCGATTTTTTGGCATTTTTGTAATATAAATGATTTTCCAAAAATGTATGAAATTTCCTAAAGAATGTAACATACATTTAACTTGATTAAAATTTCACTGTACGTCGTTGCCTCTGTTCCGCAAGCGACGCTAGCAATATATTTACACTTTGCAGATTAAAAATGACTTTTGTACTAAAGTAATTAGTAAACCTTTTGATTTTCGTACTCATGTAACTCCTTTCATCTAATGGTAATGATCGACTCAAAAATGAACTATGATGGCGACGCCGGTGACGCCGCCATAACGAAACTAATAATAATTCACAGCACTGCACAATTACGCTTAATATTAGTTACAATGATAAGATTGATAACATAATAACGATTACGAACGGTAGCAATTACACAATGATAACAGGATAACGAACAGAACAACAACAATGGAAATATGTTACAAGCAACATGGGCGACCTCTGTAACGAATGTGCTATTCTATAGTGTAGCAATAGCTATAGCTAAGTACAAGCATGCAAGTATGCGGCTCGTGATTTTATCGAAGTCAAAACTTGACATTTACGGTCTATCGGGATAAATTTACTATTTAACAATATGATTAATCTTCAATTGTTGTAATTTTAATATCAGTCGAAATATAACGAATTAATACTGCGTAGTAGATTTGTTATTGCAATATCATTTGAGCTGTTTAGTATGATAATAGGAAATCCTTCGGCTCAAATAACGAAGCGCTTTAATAATAAACGCCCAATTTTCTGTTTGATTCGATGAGTATTTAGCATTTAGCATATATTTAGCATTTATTTTTTTGTTTTTTTCCTTCTTTTCTTCTACACAAGTTTATTATTACTGTCACCTTAACAAACTCAAACTCAGGAAATATTCCGCAACTATTTATTCATTAGTTACACGATAACTATGATGAAAATATATGTAACGCTAGTATGGACAGGAATTTATTCACGCAAAAGTATACGAAGTACAGATTACATAGAATAAGATACTTTTATTTATAATTTCGTACCTAAACAAATTATCTAAAGAAGGTAATTATCCTTATTATTGTTATTGTTGTTGTTGTTGTTGTTGTTGTTGTTGTTGTTGTTGTTATTGCTATTTTAGGGACAGATTAATAATGATAAGATTCTATAAGAAAATGTTTGGTATTGAACATTTTGTATTGAAAAGGAATGAAGAAAAAAGAATTTCTTGTTCTATTAAAAAATTCGTTGGCTACAATTTTCATGAATAATTAATATTAGGATCATTGGTAGAAGCAGAGCAGTTTGGAGGCGAAGTTTTATGAAAATAAATTACTGGCCAGTGACGAGCAGTATGTATTGGTGATTGACGATAAATTGAATGATCCACAGGAAAATAGTACGGATGATATGTTTCGCTACAAGGTCTCCATTGATCTTCATTTGAACCCACGTAACACCTACGACATTAGTAATATTTACCTATGCGGAGTAGAGATGGTTATAGAGATGAAATAAAATTTGTTGTGGCGAATTAAAATGAAGTTAATTTAATTCGCATTAATCGTACCAAGGATAATGATGTCCTCGCGAAAATCCACATTGATGGCTAGGGTCGCAACAGTAATCCCAATTACGATGTTCATTTTCAATTTCGCAAGACCAAAATCCAGTGATCTCATTTTGCTGGCATACGGTGCCGTTTTTGCAAGGATAACCGTTCACTGTATAACGTCGAAATGGAGGTATTTGACTTGCTAATCATTTTAATACCAAACAAGACGAATAAATTTCAATTGGTTTTGTTAAAAGTATGTTCGTTTATTTTTCTTTTCTTTCTTTTTATCAATTTTTGTTTCTTTCTTTTCTTTTCTCTCTTTTTTTTTTCTTTTTTTTTTTGTTTCGATCATTTTTATTTTTAACTTTATTTTTTACTTACGGTAAAATGGATTAAGTCCATATTTGAAACTATCGGGGTCAAGAGGAGATTTGCCGTCCCAATTGGATGACTTATGTTTGAAATCATAGCCATGATCCTCGTATCTAAATTTGCCTCTCCATCTTTCTAAAGCCGAGCCGTGGATACCAGTTTCCAAATTCCTTGGAGTACTCGGATAATTGAACATGGAAGGATCTAACTGGCTATGTTCTTCAAACATCGGTGTATTTATTGTCTCACGGGTATTCCCGTTTAAGTTACAGTACGGATCAAATTCTTTCCATGTGTATAACGCGTGGTCGTTATCACGAACATAGTCCAGATTCGGCCTGAGATCTCGTATCGATATGTCGCTTAAAAAACAGTTATTCCGCGTATTGTCATTAATAATGCTACAAATGAATAGAGTTAATAATTATTACACAATTCAATGCTATTAGCGTTGTATAGGAAATACGTGAGTGAAACGAAATAAAAGAGTACTCACATGTAATTAAACGACATGCAAGGTATTATGCCGGTGTTTCTCATCATCGAACACTTTCGTCGGCAGTCCGATTTTGTAATAGTTCTCATCGAAGACACTACCGCATGAGACATTAATTTACACGGTCTATGATATTCGGAATAACAAATTTCATCCATTTGTTTTAGAAGAGATTCTTTATCTTTATGTGGAGTAATCATATGCGAAATTAAAAATGGCGAAGGATATGTTTCACAACCGAAAGAGAAAGTATTCCTTTCATACAATTCAGCGCCATCCATATCTGGCATTTTGATAGGATTTATTTCTTCTGGCGGTAAATCGCTTAAAAAACAATTTGACGATACGCGTTCGTGACCGTGCATTCTGCGATTATCCATTGCATATTTGAAAACGAAACTCCTACAAACAAACTTTTGCAATGAAGTACACGCAAACTGGCATTCTCCAAAATCATTAACGAATATCGATTTTCTTGTAATATCCATCGGCATGGTAAATCCACTCCTGACTCTTGAAAAACATTCTTCTAACGGATATCGACTTGCTGATTTTTTATAATAACAGATCTTGGTATCTGATATTAGTACATAGCTATCATAATCGCGATTTGGTTCAAGATCCGTGTAGAAATTTATATCTTGATAGGATTGATCGCTCAATAAACAATTATCGGTAGGATTTGTAGTTAATACGTTGTATCTAAGTAACGTAAGAGAAGAATAGAAAGCAGGACATAACGAAAACATAAGCAAAGTTAAATAATTCATATAAAATTAGCAATAGGTATAATTTCATGAAAAAAAAGAAAAAAAAAAAAAAAAGGTAATCTCTGTGTTGGTTCGGTTGTGAGAACGAGGACACTGCTGCGCTCCTCAACTAGGATAAAATGATCGAATCTTGGTTCATTCGATGTGATAAAAGCAGTTAAACATATACGGTTAAAATCGAAGAATCGTGCGTTTGTAAAATTTAAAACATGCAATGGTATAATGTATTTGAGGAGAAAACATAAATGTAAATGCATGATGGAGAAAAGGGAGTAAGCTTTCAGCAGTTTTATCATTGTTTGTGCTATCATTTGGAAAATTCTTCTTTACTTTCACTTACCGATAAGCAAAACTTTCACAGGAGAAACTTGTTTCGTTAGTACAAAACTCTTCGCATTGTTCCAAATCATGTGCCACGCAAGTCTTTCGTAAGACACTTCTGCTTAATTTTGAACCCGAGACGACTTTCACCGAACATTTTCGTGTCATTTTTAATGTTTCATGTTTTTCGAAATACGTGTCCTTTGAAGTGGTCACGTAATTATCATTGTAACTGAATGGATTACCATAATTATAAAATTTTCCATAATACTGTTTATTTTCGTTAGGAATGATAAATCCTTGAATCACCGAATGATCATCTAGCCGTGAATCGGAGAAAATTGCAGATTTTACATCCAAATTTCCTTTGTCATGATTAATATGAGAGATAGGAAATGTACTGTGACGAATACCATCGGAATAACGAGACACTGGACTTTTCCAGTTCCGATTCCAATTTGAATTATCGTAATGCGAAGTAAAACCTACGCAATATAAGGCATATCTTACTCCTCTATTACATTTACCATAAATATAATAAATATAAACTTTCTTTAATAATATTCCGAATGTAATATGTATTTATGCATCGATTGAAAGAATGATTGAAGGCAGATTTGTACAAGGTGATATGATATACACAAAGGTACAAATATATCGTTAGAATATTGGAATATGTAATTGTATTGTTGTAATTGTATCGTATCATAATTCACACAGAATTATTTACCATTAATTTCTTCATAATGAAATTGTTTATCAGTTTGTACAGAGATACTGGAAGAATCATAATCTGATTTACGATTTGGTGAATGACTCTCTTTATAGATCGAATGATCTGTTGATGATTCGCGTAGAAAATCTTTATTCGTACTTTCGAGGTCAAACCATGTATTTTGACCACTTTGTCTATAGCTTTTAATACGGTCTTTCCAATGTAATATACCGTCATTATGCCATATCGACGAGGGACAATTTTCAATCTTTCCATAGTAATCGTAACGACTATCGACTAAGAAATTTTCGGTGTTATCCATACGTAAGTATGGTGTTGACGTCAGTTCACACGTACATTTCGAGTCATCAGTTCTGTGTCTTTGAATTACAATGTAAATAGCATTACAATATATAGCTGAGTGCATTGAAATTATTATTTGATACGTATTAAATACTCGTTAAATTTCTTTGATAATATTGAAAATGTATATGCAAAAAAGTTAGATTAGAATTAACGTTTAATATAAATATTACTCGTATATTACATAAATGTATGTATGTATTGTATATATCTTTGCATACCTATGATTAAAACCTTTACAGACGAAAGTCCTTTCGTGATCACATGCCCGACAACAATCCTGCAGGTTTTCACAATTTACGATGCGTTCAATGAACAATCCCATCATTTTCTTACCAGGTTGCAATTTTCGATGACAGATTATAACTACATATTTTAAATAAATTTTTTCAAGATGTAGATGTGCAGATATATTAAAATGCATACTTATAGATTGGTAGATTAATTTTCTCGTAAGATATGAGAACATTTATGTAAGATTTTCTAATGAATTTGTAAAATTTTAATATTTCGTAGTTTCAATGTAAACTTACGTGTGAAATCATCATCGTTACTTGTCTCCAAGATTGTTGAACTACGGATTATGCGAAGAAAAAGTAGAGCAAAAAGGAGGCTCCAAAACCACAATTTAATAAACATTTTTGTTACTCTTTCTCTCTCTTTCTTTTTTTCTTTATTACTATTAGTAGTGTTGTTGTTGTAGCTCCAACTATTATCGTTATTGTTATTACTATTACTTTTTTTTATCGTTATTGTTGCTGTTACTGTGGTCGTGGTCGTAGTCGTCGTCGTCGTCGTCTTCGTCGTCGTTGTTGTTATTGTTGTGGTGGAAATAGACACGATGGATTGAAGAAAATCTATCTTCTGTTATTTAAAAGAAGCAAAACTATTGCCTTTCTTTTCCACAACGATCTTCATAATAAACACCAGAATAATGTCTTTAGCTATCATATTTACTATTAATGAAACTATCTTTTCATATAAATCTTTTTAAATTATTACTTTGAACTAGTTTGATCTGTCACACAGGTCCCTCAAGATATATGTTAATAGACGAGCAAATACTGACAAAGGAACACTACACCCTTAAATAGAAATCGATCATATATATGTAAGATGAAAACAGCAATACGTGTAAATGGTAATAGTGAAATTGCAGTTCTGCATGGTTTTATAGAAAAGTGAACGCTTCTGTTACAACAGTGGGGGCAAATATTCGCACGGTGGAGAAGGGACGTCAGATTGCTAAAGTTTGTTTCTAAAGGATTAGTTTCTTGATATACAAACGCATTGACTCTTACAAATACCTTTTGTTAATTTTCACTCATATATATATTGTATAATCTTCTAATATTGCGATACAATTATTGTATATTTATTTCTCGTCTAGTATATTGCAGTCCAGCTATTGGATATTTCAATATTCATTATTTTTCGTACCCGTTTTGTCCACAAAATGCAACAAATTAGTTTCTTTTTGTCTTCATCTAATTATTCATATATTAAAATGATGTCATTTTAATAGTTGAATAAGCTCTATTATTCGAGTCCTTCGAGATTTATCAAGGATACAAGATGCAATTATTTCAGCTAGCTCGGTCATTGTAATTACAGTATAATTCGAAGAAACATACATATGACCAATAACAAATAATTTCACCAGTAATAAATTCCTCGGATAATAAATTTTAACAATTCAATTTGATAACTTGATTCTTACGCTCAAAAGTATTTAGTAGCAAAGGTTAATCAATCAATAATGCTATTGTAATAATTATTTGAAGCACTTGAAGCAACACCATTATTTACATGCTAATAACGCTGTAAGTAGATACCTTTGATTTTTAATTGTATTCGGCAATAGGTTGAAATATTTTCTATTGTACGTAACAAATTACCAAGAAGATGTATGAGATGTTTTGTTTATTCTAATGAAATAGAACAGAGTATACACATATTTCGAGTGTTTATTTAAGTTTATTTAATTTTTAAATAGTTTAAATACGTTATCATTATCTCGTTTGCAAATTACTTTACGGTGCAATAAAGATCGATGTGCATAAAATATTACAACTTACCAAAAGGGTTGTTTAATATTCTTTCATTTTTGCTTCCAATTATATCCAAGAATCTATGGTTCGTGTCATGGGAATGGAAATGTCTATCATGGTTGATAAATAAATCATAAATACCACGGCGTCCATAATTTGTCACATCATGTTTGTTTCTTAAAATTCCAAACATACGTTCTTCTATATATTTTTGGTTTAAATCGCAATTCTCGGAAATAAAAATACGTGTAGATTCTTTAATAATAATAATAGTAAAGAGCTGGGGGGAGGAAAAAGAAAAAAGAAAAAAGAGGGAAAAGAGGAAAAGGGGAAAAGAATAAAGGAATAAAGAGAAGCAAGTGAAATTATAGAGAACACTTCTTTGTACCAGTCTATTCAAGTTATTCAAACGCAATGACAATAATTAAATGATCGATTGCATAAGTAAAAGCAAAGAATTTTTAAGTTTAATAATATAGGAAATTATTGTACCAGAATGTACCATTTATAAGTATAGAGTATAAATAATTTACGTTACGCTTGTAACTTTCAAAAATGGTATTACCTTGAAAATGCCAGTGCATTTTGTGATACCAATAACGGCATTGATTCTATTCCAAATTTTGAGAAGGGATATTTGTTGATATACGTCGTTGATCCTTTTCTAATTGATTTATTTGTTTTTGTTGAACAATTTTCACTTTCACGGATAAGACCTCTGTAGGAACGGTCAGAATCACATCGTAGCAAATCTTGCCGTTTTATCGCATAAACATCGTACTCTGGATGTTCTTCTAAATTTTGTAATGTCGGTATCTGTGAGCTAATCAAACATGTGCTATTACCCTTTACACCAATACTAAAAAAGACAATCAATTGATAACAAACTATTTCAGGAATCAAAGCTTCACTTTTTTATATTCAATATCGATGATATTCTCGTACCCAAACGAAAATGCTTTGCAACCATGTTTGTTTTTTGAACAATTTTCTTCACATTCCATTAAACTTGCGACATTTGTTCGTAACATAATGTTCACATCACGTAATTTGGAACCAACTGATATCCTTGTGTAACAATCTAAGGCAGAAATTTATTTTTATCATTATTGTCGTACAATTAAAACACGTTTATTTCTACTTCGTTTCTTTTTTCTTCTTCTTCTTCTTCCTTTTTTCTTCTTTTTTTTCTTTTCCTTTTATTTTTTTTTTTTTTTATTTTTGTAGAAATTACCATTCGTAGGAAGTATTAAATGATTATCAATCATAAGGCACAGAATAATTGAACATTGTTGAAGTACCCATGTTTGAAATACAAGCGATAAAAACACATGACGCAGTCCAAACATTTTAATAACATCGATAATTAATGACGATTTATTTATTAAACTAAATAAATATTCTTTTTCTAGTGAGATTTCTGTAATATTCGACGATCTAAACTTGACTGAGAATACCAAGTAACGGTAGTGCTCTCTTATACAAAACGTAAAGAGAATTCTCCAAAGCTGCTATTACGTTAGAAACGTTTCTCTGCCCATTGCTTCTCCTTCTTCTATTGTAGATCTAGTCATGGGCACCAAGGAACTCTTTTAATGCGCATTTACGGTACATTGTTTTCTTATTCGGTTATGTGGACACATCACGATGTTCAAATACCGCGTACCACAAATCCTTTCTTCTCGCACTTATTCACGTGACTTGGTCGCGCAGGATGAATACGGCTAATTAGGTTACTCGCACAACACAATATTGTGATTATGTACAGTACACGCTCGACATAAAATTAAGGCAATACCATTTTGTACGATTGATTAATTTTATTTTCCGTCATATGCACAATTCGACAGAAAATTAGATAGAATATAACATTAATGTGTATAAATCAATGGGCTAATGATGGTGATTTGTGAAAGTGATGATTAAACGTATGTATATTTATATTCTAATATCAAATTTTTGTCTTTACTAAGAGGATAATCAGCATTATATTAAATGATTAGGTAATTTAACGGAATCGTTCAAATGACTGCGTAGTGAATCATCGTTACTGTGAATTGTTGGAGGCACGACTAAAGATATGCTAAAGAAATGCTTATGTAACGGAAGTGAGACAAGTTAAACATAAACAAAGCTGGGATGCGTTACGCTTCGCGAAACTTGGCTCAAAGAATGACTCACCTCACGACCATACTTATGCTTCTATGCTTATGAATGCAAAACTCCTCTATTTGTTTTATTATGTACATTAATATAATACATACTATGTAATACTGAATTGAATCGATCAATTTTATATACACAAACCGTTACATCAATTCATAAATTAAAAAGCGGATTCTATGTTTTAATCGAATAATAACATTTGACATATTCATTAGTATTCGTTAGTATTACTATAATACATTATAGGTGTTTTACTTTTATTAAAAAATTATTAAGATATATTTATAATAAGAATTTACAAATAACATATAGGTAATTCTTTGTATTGGAAATAATGAAATACCAATTATAAACCCAAATTATCTATATTTAGGCATATCTATAGAAAAAAGGAAAGTCAAAATTTTATGTTAAATTGTTATTAAAGAATAAATAAAAAATTACATGTTAGATATCTTAGAAATGAAATATGTTAAAAGCCGAGAAATAAGGCAAAGAAGGTTAGCAACATGCATATGGTTTTTCTTGTATTCCATGTGCAATACTAAAATTTTGGGCACTTTCCTCAAGGATAGGTGTGCGTAATTTCTCTGTACCGCTCGAATTTAAATTCGTTGATTCGTATACCCTAATCGGCGTTGAATCGCGTTCTGTCATAGGTAATCCAAGAAGACCTCTACCAATAGCCAAAAATACATTTTCAATACCCTCACGTTGAAAAATCGACGTTTCATAATAGGTTGCACCAATTTTACTTGCGTACACTCTACCCTCTTCTGCATCGACTTGTCGTTCTTTTATTAAATCTGATTTATTTCCGATAACCACCAATATCATAGTTTTCTCTACATTTCTCCTAAGTTCTGTCACCCATCGTTTCATCGCTGCAAATGTATTATACTGAGTTAAATCAAAGACCAGCATAGCTGCATTAGCATTTCTGTAGTATATCGGTGCCATTGATCTGAACCTTTCTTGTCCTGCCGTATCCCAAACCTACGTGTCATGAAACAATTAAAGATGTACAGTATTTAATTGTAATAACTGAATAAGTAAGCCTACTTTGTTTCATACATTATATTCTGTTTTGTTTCAAAAATGCATTCATAAAATACATTGGTAAGAGTTTAGAAAATAGAGAGAAATAGATTTGACATATGTTATATATGTGAATAGACAATTTGCAGAAAAGTTTAAAATACAAGTATAATATTGTTTTATAGGTATTATTTTACCCGCAGCGTTACTTTTGCATTTTCCACATTTAGTTTACAAGTAAAAAATAAAGCTCCAATCGTTGGATTAAAATGTTCCTTTAAAGCCTTTTCGATATAACACATAATCATACTTGTTTTCCCGACACCTGCAAAATTATTAATAAGAATTAATCTGAGAATATTATTTCAAATAATAGATGAAATTGGAAAACCAATGAAATATACATGTGTGGATATATAACATATAACCTACAATCACTGTAGGATAAATTAATAATATAAAAGTATTATTAATACATTACAAATGAATTACATATATTCCTATGAAAAGTTTACCATGTGAACCTAGAGCAACCACTTTCCCCTCTAAAATTTTCATTGTTTAAGTGAAAAAGCAACGCATACTAATACAAACAAATTGGACTTTTGTTTATTTTTCATACAATGAACTCAAGAACAAAATAACTTGTGTCATAGGTTTCCTAACGCAATCTTCTTTAGCAATCACTTCAAAACTTTTCCGCTTGGAATCTGTAACTGTTGATGACAATAATAATAATAATAATAATAATAATAATAACAACAGTAATAATTAGTATATTAGATCGTAAAGCACTGTATACTCTTGTACGAATGCTAAATTACACACCTACGTAAGTATAAAATAAAGTTGATATTGAAAAAGATAGGAAAGAACATGTTGAATTATGAATCGCATTTCAATTGTATAAATAGATATTCAACGCGATAAATAAAAACAAGCTGATGTGGCGACATCTGTGATCGATCACAATTATTAGCGCAGTTACAATTTCTATGCGATTATATTGTATATGGTATATATCTAATCAAACGCAATAATTATAACAGTTTAGCTACAAAGAATATTTATCACGAAAGATGAGATATAGAAGCACTTTATTCATAATATCATATAAACTGAAATATCGAGCTCGAAAAAAGTCGAAGGTTTTATTGTTTCACGTAGTATGTATAACTGAAAGTGACAAGCCCAGAAAGTAAAGATGTTATGAAAACTTTGTTAAATGGTAAGGAAGATACAAAAGAATATATCAAGCAATGCATTTTTTTATGTTTCACTGACATAATAAATAAATTTATGACTGACAAAAAAAGAGGTTTAGGAAAAAGAATAGAAAACTTTTCTTGAAATTTTGAAAACGCCCGGGAATACAAATATGATTATACATCTGGCAGAATGAAATGTAATTAGACGAGAATGTACGTATGGCTAACTGGCGTAGTGGCTAATTTGATCAATATCGTGGAAAAAATACAAAATGTAAACACGTCGGTTAATTACGAAAACTCGAAAAAAGAAAAATAATTTCTTGATATCTTGGCATAAAAAAGAATACGTACCATGGTATTATGATCATGTTGTCGTAGAAGACAAAGTATATAGTTTTAATAAGCTCGTATATAAATTAATTATTCATGAAAAAAAGGAAGATGTTAAACATTGATATGATTATGTTATGTTACGATAAGAAATATTAGCGGAGTTTTTGATCGCTGGATAATTCATATCGTACGCGCGTGTCTAAATATTGAAAGTCTAAATAATGCAATTAAAAATAAGAAAAGACACGACAATTTGTAGTAGAAAAAAAGAAGAAAAGGAAAGAAGAATCTTTTAAAGTCTGTTGATTTTCTCTTAACTAATTTATGGATGGTTGTACCGTATAATTTTTATATTTACTATTTTAAATACGAAATGTACGAAATGTAATAAACCTTGCGCACTATTTTGTACGATGGATATGTATTGTATGTATTTTAGAAAGTAGGACGGGGAACCTCTTTGAACTCGAACTCTGTTCGAAAATGTAAAATTATTTTATTATTAGTTTTTAGATTTGAACAAGATGATTAAATGTATCCGAGTTCTTTTCGTTTCCTCTCACAATCATATACATCGTATATAATTTGGTGGTTCGGTGTGGTGATCCTAATGAATGTAAGTAGCACGGTTCAAAGTTATCAAATTACTGTAAACCGAAGAGTTATTGCACATCTCGTTAATTATTAAACATATATCAGCAAATTTGGAGAAATGATTGATATCGTGTATTTCGTTGATCGTTGATGATAATGATAATGTTATGACTTTTTGTTGGTAACAATACAATTACTGGAATGGTAAAATCAACGATTTTACGGTTTTCTGAAATTCATCGGTTGTTTATTGTAAACAACCGAAATGAATGAAAGATGATAATAATGTTTTTTGATCTCGTTTCTTTATCAATGATAGAAATAAAATGATTTAAACGTGTTTCAAGTTCAAGGTTGACCAATACGTGTTAAACGTGAGTTGGCAAACAAATAATTCAGAGAGAGAGATTGTGTGGAGGGGGAAGAGAGAGAGAGAGAGACCTTTGGATGCTGTATTTCCGTTCCTCATCAGTAGTCAACCTTGTGTTCGAGGATCTTCTCCTTTCTTCGCAGTGTCATCCGGTAATCGGCAAAGGAAAGACGTCGCAGTGATGTTGATCGCGATGGAAATGTAATTGAAATTGAACACCTGCGCTCTTTTCACCTAAAAATCGTATCTTCCATGTAATTCTGCAGAATAGAGTCGTGAATTCGCGAAGAAATTCGTCATCGAGACCGTCAATCAGGCGCTTAACCACTTATGTCTCGTTTAACGACGTATGTGTATGCCTGCGTATATGCGTGCGTATATGATCTGCTTTGATAAATTACAGTATCTAAAAATGTAATGTCTACGATCGAAAATAAAGTAATTATGAAGTGCAAATGGAATTTCTCGTATCGAATACGGTAATCGAGTTTCAAGTTTTTTATGCGGTTGAAAAACAAAGGATCAAATTCGTATTTGTACGCGCGCGTTTATCGTTAAATAGTTCCTTACGATTTCACGTTGTTCAGAATAAAGAAACAAAACGTGTACGACACACACACACACACACACGCGCGCGCGCGCGCACACACACACACGCACACGCACACACGCACATATATATATATGTATATGTGTGTATATATATATATATATGTGCGTGTGTG